AGCCGACGTCGGACACTTAACAGACTGAGCCACCCAGGTGCCCCTGTGTGGTGATGAATCTTAACTAGATATATTGTGGTGATTGTTTCACAAAATATACACATACTGAGGGGCATGGGTGGCTCAGTTAGTTAAGCATCTGACTCTTGATTTTGGTTCAGGTCATGATCTCACAGTTTGGGAGTTCAAGCCTCACATCGGGCTACACGCTGACGCCTCGGAGCCTGCTTGGCCTATCTTGGCCCCTCCCTAGCTCACAAACACACACACTCTCTCTCAAAATAAATAAACATTTATATATGTGTGTGTGTGTGTGTGTGTGTGTGTGTGTGTGTGTGTGTGTGTGTGTATGTATGTATATACATACATACATACATACACATACACATATTGAGGGGTTCCTGGGTGGCTCAGTCAGTTAAGTGGCTGATTCTTGATTTTGGCTCAGGTCATTATCTCACAGTTCATGGGTTCAAGCCCACCACTGGGCTCTGGACAGACAGTGTGGAGCCTGCTTGGGATTCTCTCTCTCTCTGCCCCTTTCCCACTTGCATATGTCTTCTCTCCCTTTCTTTCTCTCACTTAAAATGAACATTGTATATATTTAAATATATACATATACACACATTGAATTATTATGGTGTACACCTGAAATTAATGTTGTATGTCAATTATATCGCGATTTTAAAAAATTAAAGGGACAAAAAACAGATACACAGTGACCAGAAATACTTTTATATTGCTAAGACACTATGAAAAAGGAAATCAACTTTCCTTAAATGTATGTATACTACCTTGTAAGAGCAGACATAACAGCTGGTTAGGTTAGCTGGCCAATCACTCATTAGTTATGGATCTTGGACAAGTCACTTAATGTCTTTGAATCTATTTTTTAACTGTAAAATACAGAATTTTTGAAAGATTAAAATGTTATAAAGTGACTGGTACAAACTACATGCTTAAAAAAATTATGTCATTAATTCTCCCCTCAACTATTATCCAAATTTAAGAAACCCCTTATATTCTAAAGAGTTTGCTCAGGTAGACTGAACTTAGTATGGACCATCAAGTAACTTTTTTAAACAAGAAAAACCATAAGATTTTTGTATCAAATAAGGTTATCCTCAAAGGAGCTACATACTTCATTAAAGTTACTATTGCTCAAGGTGACTAGAAATCTTCCATTGACTTGCAAAAAAATTTTCTATTAAAAAAAAAACCTTATTTTTTGATGGTAGATTTCCCGTTATAACTATAAAATATTTTTAATGATGAAAATATTAAATATTAAATATTTAATATTAAATGATTAAATGATTTTAATGATGAAAATATTTATTCATTTGATGAATAAAGTACACATGGCCATAATCAAGTTAAGATTCTAGTCAGAATTAACATCTGACTGGGATGCCTGGCTGGCTCAGTCGGTAGAGCATGCGACTCTTGATCTTGGGGTTGTAAGTTTGAGTCCCACATTGAGTGTAGAGATCACTTAAAAATAAAATCTTAAAAAAAATTTTTTTTTATTAAAAAACAAATCAACATATGACTAAGATGAATGATGAGACTAATCCTCTTGGATGCCTTATAAGTAGGCTCTTGGGGCCATTGTCAGAAAAATGTTTAGCAATGCCAACATAATTGGAAAAAAAAAAAGCAGGGTTACTTACTCAGAAGGGCAACATTCATCCTAACGCATCTTTATGCATTTATCTCATTTCTAGATAGTACAAGTCTGCAGCTGCTGAAGAGACCACTTCTTCATCATTTGCTTAGTGAAACCTTTTATATTAGTTGCCTTTAACCTTTAATATTTGTAAGGATAACAAAAATCTATTTTCAGTTAAACAAAAACATCCTTTATATAAGAAAAAATATTACAGCCAACCTACTAAATCAATTTCAAGGATGGAGAATAAACAATTATATAGTTTTGATAGAATTCTGTAAAAGCCATCAAAAAAATAAGATACAAAGTTATATAGACCTTATAGATGTTGCTATTCATAATACATATATGCAGTATATTTTGAACCAACTGTACTGATGTGAATCCAACTCTGATCTCAGTATTTGGTAGTACATATCATAATTTATTATTTTGATTTGTTGGAGTATTACTACACAATTTATATATGGCTCTAAGAAAATACTATTGCCAACTTTTAATTCCACATAAAGAGATAGCCAATGACACACCAATAATAATTTCTTTAGGAGTCTGATGTAAGAAATCACAGGAAACATTCTTAACTTAAAAGATATGAATTAGATTCTTAATGCATTCTCTATAAGACACGAAGAAAAAGGAACAAAGAAAATTCTTAAGTTTACCATTTCCAAGAGGAGTTTATGTAATCTCAACAATCTCTTATCTAGGCATTTAACAGCATTATAAATTTGTGTGGGAATTAAGAGAATAAATAATACTCCTTAGAGGGAGTACAATACAAAGTTTATTCAAACACTTAAAATAATTTAAAATAATCAGTTATGGAGAGTACAGTGAAGTTAGTAAAAAACAATATCAAGTAATTTAAAGTGGCAGTACCATATAGGAAAGCAGTGGCTTTAATGACTTTATGGGAGAACCACACATCTACAATTCCTCTTGAAGAAAAATAATATGTGAACCTTTTTTTAATTTTTTGCCAGAATTTTTCTTTATTTCAGAATGTTATCTCTATTTCAGATCACTGTTTGGTATTCCTATTAACATCAAAGGTTAAAATGAAAGGCCTCACAATTAAGTAGCCATATTGTTTTGATAATGTCATGTCATTATTCCTATGAATATAATTATCTTTCAATTGCAGGAGTCCTTCAGCCTGATTGTCATTTCCTATCTCAAAAATGTGTCTTTAATAAACTGCGTATATTGATTCCACTATTTACCTTTTCATACTATTGTCAGGTCCTTCAAGACTATGCTCCTAAGTATCTACACGTAATATAACAGACAGCTACATGTTTCCTTTACTTCACTTTACTTCCCTTATGAGTAGTTCCTATTTTATGAGTAGCCAGAGTACCAATTTAGTATGTTAGATGACTATAGTATAATAAAAACCAGAAACAAATGTAACACCTTTATGCTCCTAAACTCTACATGTGCTACGCAGAAATATATTAAAGAAAAAAAGCATTTTAAATAATCTTAGAAACAGTAAGATCAATGAGATCCCCTCTCCCACAAAATAAAAGTAAAACATACTAGTAACCACAGCCAGACAAGCATTATTCACAAGAATTCCATGAGACATAAGAAACAGACAGTTGAAGCCAGGTGTTGAGATTTATTCTCCATATCCAGCTAGTTTATAACCTGTCCAGTGAGTGCTATTGAGTTAAATGCTTTGGGGACTGACTGAAATATGGTTATAGTTACACAAGAGAACACTGATTCAAATCTAGCAATGACTTACGAACTTGCCTATGAGCTGATAGCAAAAAAAAAAAAAAAAAAAAAAAAAAAAAAAAAAAAGGCACAACTTAGGAACTTTTAAATCTGCCTCATGAAAGACCTTTATCTGCTAGCCCTCTTACTATTTTTTATTTTTTTGGTCTAATATACCAAATAGGCATTGGCTTTTGTAATGTGGCTTTCTACCCTGCTGTACTGACAAGCCCAGGTTGTTTGTTTGTTTGTTTTTTAAGTTTTAAAATTTATGTTAAGTAATCTCTATATCCCACATGAGGCATGCTCTCATGACCCTGAGATCAAGAGTAGCATGCTCTTCTGAGTGAGCTAGCCAGGTACTCTTGAGGTTGCCTTTTAACGAAGGCCATCAGAGTTACTAGGCAATGAACTTCAGAGTTGGATGGATGGGGGTAATGTTCCTCACTGCCCTCATTCTTTGTGAACCAGATGACTGCCAGCAATGAAACTACACTAAATTCTGAGGCATGACGACAGGAAAATTTAGGAAGGCCTGGAAAAAAGGTACCAAAGTGCATTACAAATACAAAACAGAATATTTTAATATTCTTCATAAATATTTATATAAATATTTACATATAATGAATAGGCCATTTTATAATACTGGTTAAAACCATGAAGAGCTGTTAAATCAATAGGTTTATCAATATCCTGGCTTCAAATTAATGAACAGAAATATTTTCAGTTGAAGCTCAATAAATACACTGGAGGGGATTAATTATACAGAAAAAAACAGTAGTTTCAATCTTTCTCTGTTTTTACCAACAATATCTTTTATTGGTAATGATGGGCTTGAACCACATTCTGTAAACCACACTCTGTAAAGAATTTTTGTAAAAATGCATTCATTTTCTGATAATAAACTCATGTTTGATACTGTTTTAAAAAAAAAGAGCAAAATGGAAAGATAATAATCCTGGGCTCAAAACCAAATGATTAAATTAAAGAAATATTTTCAGATTTCCCTCAGTGAGTCATGTAATTGACACCATTTCTTCTCAAGGTGTCTCAACTGGGCACTAGAATATTAACTCTAAAGCCATTTCCTCTGATTCAATTTTTGCTAATAAACGAATCTTTTCATATGAGATGAAAAAATGAAGGTATAGATTTATTTAGATGGAATTAGTTCAGCTAGGTATTTGGTACCCTAACAAGTCAAACTGAAATTAAGCGCTTGGATAGCTCTCCCATAAAGCTTCTGAAAATTCAGCTAGTGGCACTGAGAAAGATTAAACATTTTTTCTACTTCTGTAAATATCCAAGAAATTTAAAAACTGACATCTAGAAAAAAGCAAGGCATAAATTCATCAGCACCAAGTAGAAATGATCTTCAAAAGGAGGTCTCTCATGTATCCTGATATAATATACTTGTGTTGATGAATAGGTTCTAATCACCCTTCTAGGAAAAGTCCACTGCCTACAGTCAACACTTTTAGGCAAAAGGAAAGATAAAACTCAGGCAAAATGGAAATAATTCCATTTTACATTTTGATTTATCCAAAATGTTTTTAAAAAGAGATTTCAAGGTTTTTGTACTTTTTTAAACATTTTTCAGAGGAGGTATGATTTCAGGTTAGATTGTTTTCCTTCCCTATCCCATTATTTGCTAAAGTGGGAAGTATCAAATTTATCTTTATTACTAATAATTCTTCAGCTACCATCTAAATGCTGCATTTAGTCACACTACAACAGCTTCCATTTAAAATAAGACTCTAGCAGTAGTGAAAACTGTTCAAAAGTAATCATACAAAACCTTGGTTGTCTTTCCTACATATGAAATATGACTAAATTGTTGGTGGCTGGACCTCAAATCACATACAGTCCACCACATTATTCGATCCATGACCTACATCTCGAATTTGGCTAGTTAGACAGGCGCACACAGCTACACCTGCTCCAGCTCTGCAGTGAGACACAGATCCAACCAGCTCCCACCTGTAAAGATATAGGGAAAAGTGTGTTACCTTAAAACATGATTTATTTTACTCAAAATACTAACTGAAAACAAAAACTCCCTATTATTGAGACTGGTTTTGAAAGGCAGCAAGTTTCCTCAGGGCGATAAGATATCCCAAATGTTTTAAATTAATAGCTATGACTATAAGTATTTTAGCACTCTGGAGTAATTTGCTACTGGAAGATCCCATTAAAGCATATGGAAAACATGAAAAGTACCTATTCAGCACTGGGTCAAATGCTTCCACTGTATTTAAGTATGCGTTGCCATTATGACCACCAACTGCAAAGATTCTGCCCATCACTGTTGCGATCCCCACGCCACCCCTGGGAGTGGTAAGTGCTGCTACATAATCCCACTTGTTGCTTCGGGGATCATACCGCTCAACTGAACTCAGAGGAGAATTATCATCAAAACCACCTATATTAAAAAAAAAAAGATTTTTAATAGTACTACATCTCACAGAAATTAACTATTAAATTTCAATCCAATAGCTTCTACAACCTAATCTTCTGACATTTTAGAAAATAGAGAAAATCCAGGAAAAAATTCACCCCAATGCCCATCATCACTACCAAGTCCAATCAGACATTTTCTACAATTCAAGATAATTTAGATAGTATTTTACCTCAATACTAAGATTAAAAATCTTAAAGTGGAAAAACTCAAAGTCCCTGTCTCTAAGCAGATAATTTAGAAGAAAAACCCCCCACAAACATTTATATAATTTGTCCTTAGCCTCCTAGAGGTAAGGAAGATAGTACTGAGATTCCTTCTCTATGTGTACAGTGTGTACCATATTTTTAAACAGAGGGCTTGAGAAGAGAATAAACTACCACTGAATCATTTCACTCATTTAGATATGTTAAAGTTTTCCAACTGTTTCCCTTAATACTGTTAATGGCCTTCATAATTACAGAGATGGCTATGACTGAATTTCCACCAATTTTTGCCAAAACTACATCTTCATGCTACATATTCTAGATAATGACAGTCCTCTCCATATATCATTCTAACAATGTTACTTATTATATTCCTGACGGTTTTTTCCTTTAAAGATAACTGTGCCTCTTTTTAGACTCCATCTCAGTCTACATGAGTAATAACTCTCCTGAGCAAGTAAGCCTATTTTCCTGAGGACAGGAAGTATTGCTATAATGATCAGTCTATTTAGAAACAAGGTCAGTAAAAAAAAAAAAAAAAAAAAAAAAAAAAAAAAGCAACAACCAACAGTTAACTCTCTAATGGATTTAACTTTACTAAATCAACTTAAGTGAGGTAAAATTCACCAATTTTATGTGCATAATTCAATAAATATTGACAAATGCATACAGTAGTATCATTACCACCATGACCAAGATAGGGACAGCTCTCCCAAATAGGGAGCTGTGAGAGACAGCAGTGGTGTGCTGCAAGAACTCTGGTTTCTCATAGACTCGAGTTCAAATTCCAGCTTTGTCAGTAGTACAGGCATGTGACTATGAGTAATTTATTCATGCTGAGTCTCTGCTACCTCACAAAGCTATGATGGTCAGATAGGATCTGAAGGTAAATTATGTTATTTCTTTTCTTTAATACACATAAGCACATAGAAACATGACTTCTATTACTTGCAGATATTTCAATGCTAATACTATCCCACATTTCCTTATCGAGAACTATAAGTTATGTAACACTAAACATACATTTACATTTACATAACACATCATGTAAGATAAGTTCACATTATGTTTATGTTATGTTTCTCTGTAAAGAAGGGAATTAGCAATCACAATATTGCTATCTATTAACTGGGTAACTACAAAGTACCAGATGCAGTTTGAGATGCTTCATATATATTATCGCTAATTCTTAGAATAAGTCTCTCAAAGATAATTCTCATTAATCCTCATTAGTAATTCTATTATTCCCATTTCATAGTTCTTTAAAACCCTGCTAATGAAAGTGTGCTGAATGGACCAGAAGCAGCATTGATTATCACTTGGGAGCTCTTAGAAATACAGAATCTGGGCTCCTTCCTTGCAGTTTAACAGTATCTCCAGAATATTCATATGCATATTAAAGTTTGAGAAAGCACTGCCCTATGGTTCCTTCCAATTCTGCAGTTCAGTGAGTCAAAAAGCATTTGCTTAAAGAAGTCAACATAATTCCCTTGAAATGAAGATGAGAAAAAATGTCTTAGATCTTTAAAGATTTATTATAGCAAAGCACATGTGTGTCCTTACACTAAAAAACATATATCTTAAGTATAATCTTCTACTCTAGATATATTTGCTACTCCTAGTAAAAATATGAAAGTAGAAATTTTAAACATGACAGATGAAGATATAAACAAAAAAGCATGAATGTGAACCTTAATAATTCAAAAGCAAATCTTAGGACTAATTCCACTTGAGCCTAACTGCAACATAATCTGTGTTATTGTGTTGTCTTATGACACTATCATTATATATCCTTCAATAAATTAAACTAGAGAAATACCATCCACTCACCAACAACATATAAGCAACCATGGAGCTCACTAACTCCATTGCCTGCTCTTCGTTGACCCATTTCTTTAACTTCTATCCACTTATCCAGATGTGGATCATACCTCTCCACACTAGATAAAGAAGCAACTCCATCATTGCCACCTACTGCATAAACATGGTTCTAAATAAAGAAAAAATAAAAACACATGACATTAGATTTTTAAATGATTTATATATGGTCTTAATGGTAGACTGGACTGTGCAAGAAAGCAGTGTTTCATGACGTAATATGGTGTGCAATCAATCTCTGCATCCTGGAGAAATGAATATAGCAGACTTTTCCTTATTTGGTTAGGGATGTGACATGATGCAATCCAATAAGCAAACTGCCACATAACTTACTATAAGAGCCACAGAGCCAACTCCTCCACGGGGAGTATTCATTGGTGCCACTGTACTCCACTGATCAGATTCTATATCGTATCTCTCTACATCATTGAAGCAAGTGTTGTCATCTAACCCTCCAATTGCATAAATTGGACCTCCCAAGGAGGCCAAGGCTATGCCTCGCCTGCAAAGACAATAAAAACACACTTTAGCATCCAGTTGTGTTTCCAGGAAAAAAGTAGTGAAAATATCATGCTAACAGGAAGTCGTTTACTTTGCTAAACCTCAGTGTTTTTTCCCCATTATTTTTAGATTTATCAAAGCTTCTAAACAGATGACTACAAGGCTGCCAAACTGTGTGACTCTATATGAACAGTGCCCTCTGGAGTTTTATAATATGCAGCCTACACAGGTTACTTTAAACTCAAATGAAATAAAGTAAAACCCAACAAAATACCATAAGTGGAGTCCAAAACATTCAATTAGCAAAACACACAGCTGCATAATAAGAGATTAATGAACTGACACAGATATTTTGTTATGGAGGTCAGAAGTCAATCTCAATTCTAAATTAATGTAATTGCAGAGCACGTGTTATTTTTTTTTAATTTTTTAATGTTTATTTATTTTTGAGAGAGAGAGAGACAAAGCGTGAGCAGGTGAGGGGCAGAGAGAGAGGGAAACACAGAATCCGAAGCAGGCTCCAGGCTCTGAGCTGTCAGCACAGAGCCTGACGCAGGGCTCCAACTCACAAAGTGTGAGATCATGACCTGAGCGAAGTCTGACGCTTAACCAACTGAGCCACCCAGGTGCCCATCAGAGCACGTGTTTTGATGCAGGGTTTCACTGTACCACACAAAAGAATCAATTTTTATATTACATGATTTATATCACATTGGTTTACTTCTGATGGACATTTATTTCTCTTTTTGAAAAGAAGGAGGCAGCCCTTGTTAAAAGCTAACTCACTGTAATGGTGATCAGAAAAAAAATTCCATCAATTTCTTAAAAAACACATTCAAAGCAATCAAAATTTAAACTATTCTAAAACTGGGGCGCCTAGGTGGCTCAGTCGGTTAAGCGGCCAACTTTGGCTCAGGTCATGATCTTGAGGTCCGTGAGTTCAAGCCCCACATCGGGCTCTGTGCTGACAGCTCAGAGCCTGAAGCCTGTTTCAGATTCTGTGTCTCCCTCTCTCTGACCCTCCCCCATTCATGCTCTGTCTCTCTCTGTTCAAAAATAAATAAATGTTAAAAAAAAAAAAAGATTTAAACTATTCTAAAACTATAATCCGTCCCTGAGTTGGTATGTACTTTGGATAAAGCAGTATATTTTATAAACATCTACTACCTTGCTTCTTCATCTGTAACCCATTTGAGAAAGGAGCAGACATGGGTGGTATTGAGTTAATATAGGTAAAGCACTTAGAATGGCAACTGGCCCATATTTAGTGCTATGTATTAGCTATATTACTGGAGAGCACAGCTGTTTAACTGAGATTCTAACTCTTTAATTAAAGAGAATCCTAGGAAGAATTCTTAAATATAATGTTGTTACTCATTTTCAGTCCCCTTAACCTCGTTTCTCTTGAGTATCAAGCAATGACTTACAAAATACTGTGGCAATAAAAACTCACAGGTGTGTGAATATGTGTGTGCATGCTAGGACATACAGGTGTTATATCGTGGCAGATGTGTGCCAGATAAATCTCCCTCCCCACCACCATCCCAAACCACAAGAGCATATGACATTATTGGCTATTTCCTACTACTCAAAACTCTGTTGATCTTCATGAAATCACACGTGTGAATTCCCTCCTAAATCTCTGGCTGGTACTATTCTGTTTCCTTTATCAGCACCTTCTTTTCTACTTCATCGTCAAATTCTGAAGTTCCCTAAGGCCTCTTATCACTTTTACTTTCTCTCCCAAGGTAATTTCATTCCTTCCATGGATTTATGGTAACATTTATTTATATTTCTAATAAATGTAGTGGAGCATTCTGTAATTCCTCCCAGTGAATTACATGAATTATATGTGTATTTGTTAAAATAATATCTATTTTGCACCACATGGGAGATTAAATTAGATTACCTTTTCCTTTTTCAAATTCACAATTCAGCAAATAGAGTGAGGATGTCAAAGACAGCTCAATAATTCACATAAACCTAGATATGAGAATAATTCTGCCTTCTTGATTCAGAGTGAAAACGTAATGGAAGAAAAAGAGTTATCTGGATAAATACTGAAAATCTTGCCTAAGAGCAGCTTTGTACAGAGAATAAAATTCAGAACACCTTAATTTTATCTTGCAATTTTATTTAAAGAAACAAACCCAAACTAATAAAACCTAACTTCAAATATTGAGGTTTATATCAAGGTTTGCAAACTGTAGCAACATTCTGTAAGAGTTAAAAATGGCTAATATGAAAATGAACAATTTTATTATTTTTGTTAATGTTTTTGTTTTTTTGAGTGAGTGAGGAAGGGGCAGAGAGAAAGGGAGACAGAGGATCCACAGCAGGCTGTGCACTGATGGTGGGACTTGAACCCACAAACCATGAGATCACGACCTGAGCCAAAGTCAGGCACTTAACCAACTGAGCTACCCAGGCGCCTCGTGATGAGCAATTTTAAACTGAACTGCACATGGGGATCACACTGCCATCTAATTTTCTATTTTTAATTAATTTAACATAAAATGTTTTTAACTGGGTTTTCTTCTCATGTTATAGTATGAGATACTAGATGGAAATGTGAAGAGAGTTCTGCTGAAAAGAGATCTTTAGCTTTTCTTTTTTCTTCACAAGGAGAAAGAATCCTAGGGAAGAAAAAAACTGGTCTTAAAATACATTATTACTTGTCACTTACCTAGAAATAACATTTTAATACTTTAATAGAACTGAATTTATGCTACATAGTAACTACCAATAGCTTAAATTATAATGTGTAGATTAAAACATGGGAGAAAATTCTAAAGTACACTTTTAATTTTTATACCCTTGCCTTTTTATCATGATGCTAAGCTGGTTTTTAGCCAAGACTTGGACCAACATGTGAGGCCTGAAACCATAAAAATCCTACAAGAGAGCAAAGGCAGTATTTTCTCTAACGTTGATCATAGCAACATCTTTATACTTATGTCTCCTGAGGCAAGGGAAACAAAAGCAAAAATAACCTACTGGGATTACATCAAAATAAAAAGCTTCTGCACAGCAAAGGAAACAACCAACAAAACTAAAATATATTGAATGGGAGAAGATACCTGCAAATGACACATCCAATAAAGGGCTAGTATCCAAAATATATGAAGAACTTACACAACACCAAAATAATAATAATAATAATAATAATAATAATCCAATTTAAAAATGGGCAGAAGACACACACAGACATTTCTCCAAAGACATCCAGATGACCAAAAGACACATGGAAAGATGCTCAACATCAATGATCATCAGGGAAATGCAAATCAAAACCACAATGAGATACCACTTCACGCCTCTCAGAATGGCTGAAAATCAAAAACAGAAGAAACAACAATGTTGGCAAGGATACGGAATAAAAGAAATCCTTGTGCATTGATGGGAATGCAAACTGGTGCAACCACTATGGAAGACAGTACGGAGGTTCCTCAAAACATTACAAATAGAACTACCCTAATATCCAGTACTGGGTATTTACCCAAAGGGTATAAAAACACTAATTTGAAGGAAAATATGCATCCCTATGTTTACTGCAGCATTATTTATAATAGCCAAGCTATGGAACCTGACCAAGCATCCATCAATAGATGAATGGATAAAGAAGATGTGGTATATACATACAAAAAATATTACTCAACCATAAAAAGGAATGAAATCTTGCTATCTGCAACAACACAGATGGAACTAGAGAGTACAGTGCTAAGCAAAATAAGCCAGCCAGAGAAAGATAAATACCGTATGATTTCACTCATATGTGGAATTTAAGAAAATAAAACAAAGGAACAAAGGAACAAAAAAAAAAAGGAGAAACAAACCAAAAAACAGACTCTTAAATATAGAGAACAAACAGATGGTACCAATGGGGAGGTGGGTAGGGAACGGGTGAAACTGTTAAATCATTATATTGTACACCTGAAACTAACATAACACAGTATGGTAACTACACTGGAAGTAAAATAAAATTTAAAAATCCTCTCTCCAAACCAAAAATCTTCAACAATTTTTTATATGACACAGTTTTCAGGTTTCTTACTAACCTGCTAGTCCTTGCATGCATCCCAGGTTATAACTCTCACAGTTACAATAATTTTTGTGTGCACCCATTTACCATAATTATTTTCAAATGATAAACATATATTACTGTATTAGCAGGTTAAATTCATTAAAAAAATCCAATCAGAATAAATTTAAAAGGATGCAATAAAAAAGTATAGAGTCTAACTTTTATTACCATCTCCCAAATGATGTTGTATATCCCACTGAGACCCCAGCTATAGATACAGACAGATCAGCATAAAGAATACCACTACAATCTTCCTTGATATAAAGACTCCACTTCTCAAGACAGGCAACTACACTGTATTCATTTTCCTTTTCTTTCTTTTTTTTTTTTTTAAGAGCTGTGCTTCATATTGGTTCATGTACTTTTCTCCATAAGAAACATAAATTAATTGCAAACCTGGTTTTCCACCATGTTGTACTGGTATATTTCATATTTCATAATATCTAAAGCAGGCTTTTAACCTGTAACCTTAATATTTTTAGGTATTACTGCCTATCAATTTAGAGTATGTTTGGTCTACTATGCTTTTGAACCTTGATACCACCTTAAGATACCTGAAAATTCGGTAGAATAGTCATTAAAAAAATTCTGAACAGGCTAGTCAACATCCACTAAGTCATGCTACTGCAAATCTTTCTCCTCTTTAGACTGATCCACTTAGCAACATATATTTCAATTTACTGTAGATGAAAAGTTTAAATATTAATGCTAATAAAAAATAAGTAAAAAATGAGAAATATTTTCTTAACATGTTGAAATACTATGCCTTAGTCCTAAAGCCAGTATCTCATTTACTAGGGATACAACAGAGACATTTCTACTAAGATCAAGAATAAGATAGAAATGCCTATCTCTGCTACTATTCACGCTGAATTAGATTAATAGCCAATATAACTAGATAAGAAAAACCAATTCAAAGCATAGGAATATGTGGAAAAACTGGCAAAAGTTGAATAAGGTCTATGGATTAATTAATATCTTTGTATTAATGTTAGTTACCTGGTTCAAATAATTGTACCACAATGGTGTAAGATGTCAACATTATAGGTACTGGGTAAAGAGTATATACAGCAGGATTTCTCTATCTCAGCACTATTGACATTTGGGGCTAGAAAATTCTTTGCTGTGGGGAGCTTTCTTGTGCATTACAGGATTTTTAGCAGCATCCTTAGCCTCTCTCAACTAGATGCCAGCAACAACTCCCCCAACATCCCCGACCCCAAACTATGACAACCAAAAATGTCTCCAGGTATTGCCAAGCATTCCAAAATGGGAGTGAAATCATCTTTAGTTGAGAACCACTGGTATACAGGAACTCTACTATTTTTGCAACTTTTCTGAAAACCTAAAATTATTTCAGAGTTAAAAGTAAAAAAAAAAAAAAAAAAAAAAAAAAAAAGTCAATGCTCAGGTTTACATGGAAACTATATCAATTGTTACTATATTCTAAAATATAAAAATATAAAATATATTCTCAATGGATGCTTTAACAAAATGTGTTTAAGAAGGTATTTTAAGTTTCTAAAAGTGTAAAAAGCAGAAAATTAGCCCTTTAAATTATTGGGAGCTTTATTTTCCAACAAATCAAAAAAAATTTCCATGCTGATTCACCTCTTTGTGTTCATTGAAGCCTTCATCATCCATTTATTAGTGAGAGGATCAAACATCTCCATGCTACCTAAATGTTCATTTCCATCATGTCCACCTACTGCATACACTTTACCTATCAAATAGAGAAGCATTTTCATTTGATTCCAAGTAAGTAAACTGTTATATAGATTTATACTCAACATATAATTAGAATAGCATGAGAATTTCAAACTATTCTTCTGTTCAACATCATGAATTAATGTCAGTTAAACAGTCAAATTAAAATAATTATAAGCTTCTACTTAATAAAATGCCTGGAATGTGCTGCTGTATATGAAGTTACTTAAATGCTCAAACACTATCCTACCTTAGGTTTCCCAACTTATTACTTAGTAGATGAAATCACTAATCATGCTCTCAAAGAATGTTTGATAAAATTTTTAAAATGCTCAGTATGTTATATAAAGAAAATATAAAATTCAATACATATGATCAAACTTTTTCTAAATGAAATTATTAAAAATACACATACAATAACTGTAAAGATTATATACAAAAATGTCAACTAGGATTATTTCTGGGTGTTTAGATTATAGATGATTTTTACTTATTAGAATGTTTTCAAATTTCCCCCCAAAAAGCTTCTATAATCAGAAAAAAAGTTAATTTTTCAAGTCTCCTAACAATTTATCCATGTTTCTGTAATTATTTCATTTTCAGTAACCAGTAAAAAATATATATATAATTTCAATAAATATATAGAAAAAAGCTGATACATATTTATTTGAGTTCAATAAACACTTTTCCTTGGTTTATTTTGCAAATACAACTCAAAAGAGTTTAACTCTTTATTTTAACTCCCTTCTCCCTACTACTCATCTCCCACTGAAGCATCTACATGCAAGAGATTGTTCGCTGAGCATCTATGGGCATGAGGCAAGTAAATAATCACCATCCAAATATTTTATTGATAATATTGAAACATTTTATAATTTAGCAATTTTCTTATAGAAAGAAATTGTCAAAGTTTACATATTTATAAAGAGTGTTATCATCATGTGCTATGACTTAAGACAATAATGGACCTACCTTCCACAGAGATTACACCGACGTGTCGCCTTCGACTATTCATTTCTGGCCCAAAAAACCAACTATTTTTGTTGATAGAATAGCATTCAATACTGCGAAAAGGGTCACCAGATCCACCTCTACCACCTACACAAAATAGCACACCTGAAGGTAAAGCCACAAAATAGAGATCAAAATTATAGCTCCCTAATTTTTTAAAAATTAGTGTGGAAAAAATACTTAGAAAGTCAAAATTTTGATGAAATGCTAAAAAAATGAGTTACTTGGATAACTTCAATGTCATTGTTACTAAAAAATCTGATTTTCTTTTTTCCCAGTTTGAATGTCTCAAATAGGATACATCAGCTATCTCTGTTTGCAAACATCTCATTATAGTATGGTTTAGATCTTCACCCACTCTGTAAAATTTCTGTTGCTAAGGTCATAACTATATCCAGTAAACTCCTAAGTTAATTTCTTATTGAATACAACTGCCACATTTGATATGTTGATCACCCTGTTTTGGGGGAAACTCCTTAACTCTCCTGATTTCCATAATATCAAGGTTTCCTTTTGTCTCCAATAATTTCTCTTTCACATGTTTCCCATATTTCATCCTTAGCCTACTTCTCACATACTTCATGATCACACAGGAAAAGTACATTCATTCCTTGATTTTAAATTCCATCTGTATCATAATGCCTTCCAAGCTAGATATCTAAGCCACATTTCTACTTGATGTCCCATGTAGTAGTCTTTTGGCTTTCACACTGTCAACAGAGTAAACTAATTATAAGACTCTTTCAACAGCTTTCCATTACCTACATCAGTAGTTCTTAAAAACTTTAGCGAATGTCACTAAACTATATGCATTTAAAAATGGTTAAGGGTGCCTGGATGGCTCAGTAGATTAAGTGTCTGGCTCTTGATTTCGGCTCAAATCGTGATCTCACAGTTCGTGGGATGGAGCCCCGTCTCCAGCTCTGGCTCTGCATTGACAGTGGAGAGCCTGCTTGGGATTCTCTCCTCTTTCTGCCCCCTTCCTGCTTCACACACTCACTCTCTCTCCCTCTTTCTCTCTCTCTCTCTAAATGGATAAACATTTTTTTTTTAATGGTTAAAATGGCAATTTTTATTTTATACATATTTCACTGCAATCTAACAAATACCAAAACTTCAGTGAAGTTTACAGAATCATCTGGAAGGCATAAACCAGATTTATGGGCCTGACCCCCAGAGTTTCTGATTCAATAGGTGTGGAGTAGATCCAAGAATTTGTATTCCTAACAAGTTCCCAAGTGAATGCTGATGCTGCTGGGCCAGGGGCCACCACTTCCTTTATACTTTGAGAACCAATGCCCTACAGGATAAAGCCAGCACAGCATAAAGGCCTTGTTGCACTGTCTAACCTGATCTTCTCCCTCTCTTTCTCTTAAATTTCATGTTTCTGCAACATGCATACAGTGCTCATCCTCAATGGTTCCAATGGCAATTTTTGGTAATATCATTCACTTAACACAGTTTAGAAATGATTATGCTGATATCTGTCTCCAGAGTCCAAGATAGGTTAGGATTATATGTTAACTTATATTTTGTACTAATCAGGGCTATCACAGTGCCTGGTATGTACTAGACATTCAAGAGATGCAAAAGGAACCGAATACCCCTTTCCTTAACTGGCACCTAGGAAAACGGCTGTTTATTATTCAAAACTAAGGTTTACTTTCTCTATAAAACCTTTTCTGACCCTTCCAAGGTAAAAATAACCACTCTTTTGTGTTTCCCATTATACTTATGAATATATCAACGTCCCTTTAATACTTCAGTGCATTTTTTATTCACATGTCTATTTCCCTAGATCAGACTGCATGTTCTCTCAAAATAGGGCTGGCTATGTGTATCTGCATTTCTGATGCCTGCCCCAGAACTTGGCATGTGGTAGGCACTAGATAAATATTTGCCAAATGACTACATTAAAAAAATGTCTACAACTGCTTTGCCATCTTTTCCAATTCAATATTTTTTTAATTTTTTTAAATTCATTTTACTTTTGAGAGAGAGAGACAGAGTGTGAGCAGGGGAGAGGCAGAGAGAGTGGGAGACACAGAATCCGAAGCAGGCTCCAGGCTCTGAACTGTCAGCACAGAGCCCAATATGGGACTGGAACTCATGAACCGTGAGATCATGACCTGAGCCAAAGTCGGATGCTTCACCGACTGAGCCACCCAAGCGCCCCACTAATTCAATATTTTTATTTGTTTAAGTTTATTTTTGAGAGAGAGTGAGCATGGGGAAGGGGCAGAAAGAGAGGGAAAAAGAGAATCCCAAGCAGGCTCTGCACCGTCAGCACAGAGCCCAACACGGGGCTCGAACCCACAAACCATGAGATCATGACCCGAGCCAAAACCAAGAGTCGGACAACCAACTGACTGAACCACCCAGGTGCCCCCTTAGAATTAAGTTTGGGCATACATAACCAATATTCAGATACCATAAAGATCCTTCAAGTAGGTGATAAAATGAATAATTTCATTACCAGCAGTATGTTTCCTTGGAGTAGTCCGAATGGAATATTCAAAGTCAGGTACTGCTCTGCTACTCAGATGAAGATGGTAATTTCTTGCTTCATCCAATAAATCTCTACATTTTAGATTTTGCTTGACAATCTGTTCTTTTGCCACAACACCCATAAGAAAATCAACTGGCAACAGCGGCAGACGAACCTAAGATCATGAATAGTTGTGAATATGAAGTTTAAGTTGTAATTAGAGAGCTCATTCTCTACTTCAACTGTAGTATGTTTATTTTCTCTTTTTAAAACTCATTTACCTCACAAAGCCTTTCTAACATGTGAGTGAAGTTCAATGAGCCAAGTTCTATAGTGATTTTTCAGTACGGTGCACTGATGAAATCAGATTATATGTTAAATGCATCTTCTCCTCTTTAAAAACAGATTTAAGTAGACTGGATAAAATAATTCAATGTCTTCATTCAAGTTACTTACTTCCAAAAATGGTTGTGTCAGAATCACAAGGCCACACTGCTACTAGAGAAAAGGTGCAATCAAAACAAAATCGCTATGTTTTGTTCTTTTGCCTTTTAAAGCTAAGACTGAACAAATGGAAATGTGATTTCTTTCTAAAACAGAAACAGTCATAATATTAAACAAGCGTTGTTTTCTTCAAATCAATGACCTTGTAAGGTTATATACTAAATCAGGGATGCATCCCTTCTTTCAGTAGAGGCACTCACCATTCTTCCCTTAAAGATGCACTGATTTTCTAGAGAATAAAGGGGATGATCAAACCAGGTAATATGATTTTGAGTTAAAAGTACATAAGCATTCACACAAATAAGATATAGCTTCAAGATAATAACACTTTTTGTTTTTGTTAACAAACATATTCAAAGCATTTCTAAGGCCTACTATCTCCTGATCCAAGTTACCCTGTTGACAATAAGTAAATAAACAAATAAATAAAAAACAGTCATGTTTCTGAGGTTACAAAAGTAAAACTGTGGTGAGAAAACAAAATGGAAAGTGATGTCTTGTGGTTCTTTCCAAATAAGAAATTCACTAAAATTTAGAAACTTCATCATAAAACAATAGTTATTTAGAGCTGTTTCCTCAGAACCATTTTCTATCAACATAAATAAAATATTCAGTACTGCAATCTCAAAGGGCTATTTTAAACATTCATGTTAGGGGTGCCTGGGTGGCTCAGTGGGTTAAAACTGCGACTTCAGCTCAGGTCATGATCTCACGACTCGTGAGTTCAAGCCCTGCGTCAGACTCTGTGCTGACAGTCAGAGCCTGGGGCCTGCTTCAGATTCCGTGTTTCCCTCTCTCTCTGACCCTCCCCAACTTGTGCTCACTCGGGAAGGGAAGGGAAGGGGAGGGGAGGGGAGGG